GTAATTCAGAGATTCAAGCTCTATCCTAATTCGAGCTCAAGTTTGAGTTAGAGCTCGAGTTCGAATTTAAGCAGTCAATTCCGATGTCATCTTCAATATCAACTACATTTCTTGACTGCCTCTAACGCCTAAATTGTTTTACATTATATTTTTTCTTTCGCCTATTCACCTGTCACTGCGTAGTGTTGCGAATAGTTTTAAAAAGCATGAAAATAAAAAGGATGGTTCGTTATTAACCGATAAATTGGAAGTTCCGGTATTAAGCGGGTGATTGCTATATTCCGCATATTGGGTGATTTCGTTGTCTTGCTATGTTCCGTTAGTTATTGTATCTCACGTAGCTCGGTTATCAAAACATGTTTTTTGTTAACTCCGCAGATTTTGCTGAGGTTAGCATGCTTATTTCATGATTTAAATTTACTTGCTTTACCTTTTCTTTAAATCTCTTTCACCTAACTCTTCACGTTATCTCATCTTTTTATTTATATCTTCTCTTTATATTATTCCATAATTTATAAACGTCCTATTGCGCAACGCCGATTAAACTTGTGTCACTTTATTCCATCACTTTACGTCGCTTGTTTGCATATGCATTCACCGTTTAGATGAATTTTACATTATGCCATCATTTAATTTTTTTCTTATTTAAATAAGAAGGATACGTAGAAAAAGAAAATGGTATCGAAGATGGAAATAGATGAACCAAAAGAAAGTGCCAGTGATGAGAAAGAAGAGAGTGGTGATGCAAAAGAAGAGGAGAAAGATGATACGTCAAAAGTGGAAGACCCCGATGCTGTTATCCTGGAAAGTTAGTACTGTATTCTATTAGGTCTCTAATCGATGGAAAAAATGAAAACAGAGGAAAGAAGCTGTATTGAATGACAATGGCTGACCAGTCGAGATCCGGAAAGTAGGGAAGCATATGACATTGAATGATTGAGCCTATTATGTTCGAAAAGCAGGTTTTCTTGGCGTATGTCATATGAAGGGAACAAGTAGGAATCAGGAAAATTGCACTTTTTTTCTTAATTTGAAATACATGAATAATAAAATAATAGGATTTTTTGCGAATACCACAACAAGAAAATCACGTAAGAAAAGGTTCTCGTTGGAAGGAGAAGTGTTTGACGATGTGTACGTCATTACGTAGGTGTAGTATGAATATTGAACATATAAATCTAGCGGAATTGATGGTTTGATTCAAATCTTTCCAAAAAATTCAAAGCTATGATAATAGCATTTAAATATTCCATTATTATTCGTAGAAGAAAATGTTATAATTTATCAGGAAGTTTAGTACTCTGAAACTTTGAAAGTTACTGCACTGTTGCGTTAATGCCTCATTGGGAAGTGAATTTCAGATTTGCGAGCATGGTGTTTACAATTGGAAAAGGGTGAACTACATGTGCTCCCACGAATGATTCAACTTTTGCATAAAACTCGAAAACAATTAAATGAGAATCTACTTAAAAAGCTGATTTCTTCACAACTGATGGCGTTACCACTTATCAGGGATCAACTCATATCTTGGCTTCCGGCTACTCCAAGTATTTCTGGTCTCGTCCAGCCGGTATACACATTCTTGCGATTCAATTTATATATATGTTCTATGCAAATTAGACGTCGTAAGCTATAACAATCGAAATTCTAGCTTATAGCATTTTTCAGATGGAAGTGGGTGTGAGCAAAGGTGGACGTTCTCCGCGACCTCCCCGACGTTCAGGTGGTCAACCATGTGTTGCTCCACCGCCGGAAGTGGAGCTTTATATCCACTTACTTGTCTTACTTTATCTTGTTGATCAGAAGAAACTAGAGGAAGCAGAAAAGGTTCAGTTTTTCTGTTTTTTTGTTGTTTAAAATTTGTAATTTTTTCTTACTCTTGAGTGGGATATAATCAGTCTTGTTTTTTAGTGTGTAGAAACATTAATTGCACGGATTGACCACCACGAAAAACGTTCTCTGGATTCCATTGCAGCAAAAGCATTCTTCTACTTATGTCTCATTTACGAAACAAAGAATAAACTCGACGAGTTGAGAGCGTAAGTTTAGTGGCTAAAAAGAAGTTTGAGTGACGTAGAGATGATATTATTTGGGTGTTGATGCGGGAATCTTTAAATAAATGAGTGTTCTTTAAATACATTTGAACTTTGCAAGTTCTCATGACATTTTCTCAGTGTGTGCAGTAAATAGTCGACTTTCAGTTATCTGAATGGTCGTCTTCGAACAGCAACACTTCGTCGGCAATATGATTCACAGGCGGTGTTAATTGTTTGTCTTTTACGTGCCTATTTGGTTGGGAAACATTACGAGGCTGCAGCTATGCTTGTTTCAAAGGTTGGATGTCTCACTGAATTTTACTTTTCATTCGTCTCAGGAACAAAATATGTGACTCTGTGACGTTGTGACGTTCATAGAACGATAATCAAAGTGAAATAAAAAGATGGAGATTTTCGAAGCAGGAACAAAAGATGCGAGAAAAACTAAGAAATCTGTGTGCTGGATCGACATCTTCATATTTGGGATTTTGATTTTTATAAATGTAAGAAGTGCTGTTTTTTTTTAAGGTAACATTTCCGGAGGGTGCGTCGAATAATGATCTGGCTCGGTTTCTTTATTATCAAGGTAGAATCAAAGCAATGCAATTGGATTATACTGCTGCTGCTGGTTATTTCATGCAGGCAATTCGTAAAGCTCCCCAGGATGCTGCCATAGGTTTTAAGCAAAATGTAAGAACATATTTTTTTCAAACAAATGAAACAAGGGCTAGAAAAACAAAAAAGCATGAACTAAGGAAATTTTTAAAGTGCAGTATTTTCAATTTCTCTCAACTCTACTGAATTTCTTATTCCGGATTCTTTAAACTAACGATCGCTTGAAGCAAACATTTGCAGGTACAAAAATGGATTGTTGTGATTAGTTTACTACAAGGCGAAATCCCAGAACGATCTGTGTTTCGCGTGCCAATTCATCGGAAAACACTAGCACCATATCTGGAACTTACCCAAGGTGATTTTTCTTCGCAAGCCTGGGATGTAAATAAATGTGGATCCCAAACATGTTTTGTTCTTTGAAAAGTTTTTAGTGGAAAATCTAAACATACTTTAATTGCTACTTTAGAAATGTTTGCAGCGATTTTAGGAGAAGTTTTGAAAACAATTTGGTTCGAATTACTGTGACCGCAACAGTGTATTAAATGTAGTCCAAGTTTTTAGGAAACTGTCAAAACTTGTTGAGTTGAAAACCTTGTACTTCTTTAGCTGTGCGTTTGGGTGATTTGTTGTTCTTCAATAAAGTACTGAACAAGCATGCAAAGCATGTTTTTGGACCTGATGAAACTTTGACTTTGATTGTCCGTCTTCGACAAAACGTCATCAAAACAGCACTACGTCAGATTAGTACTGCTTATTCTTGTATATCGATCAAGGACATTTGCAAAAAGCTACTTTTAAATAGTGATCAAGAAGCCGAATACTTGGTGGCTAAAGTAAGTTTGAAGTAATTTTATATTTTTGAAGTTTTTTTCCTGAAATCTTGAACTCTTATGGAATTCAATCCTTAATTATCCATGCTGTTAGCGAGTAATTATAGGCAATCAAAGACGGTGGTATTGAAGCAGCGATTACATTTGATTCTCAAAAATCATCCAACAGATATATGCAATCGAAGGAAACGGAAGATATTTATCGTACTACAGAACCGCAAACGCATTTTGATACTCGTATTCGGTAAGAAACTGCTGGTAGCTGATCAAAATAAATAGCTAAAAGTTTCGAAGGCCGTTGTGTAACGTGTGTAACTGTTTTCAACATGCAATTATTTCGTAGAAGATTGCACCGAATTCCTGGACAGTCTTACTTTTTTTGATTTTCGGGTAGTTTAGGATTATATTTGGACCTCAATTTTATACTGTGAATTTTTCTTATCAGGAGCATTAAACGTGATGGCACTAGCCTGAGAAAATATTTCCCTAGCTTGGCTGATGCAGTAATTTATTACATCAATCATTGTTTCCTTGTTTCAAATTTGCATTTTTTAAAAACTTTATTTGAAATTAACTATGTGATGAAAGAGTAAATAATTTAAATAATAACTTCGGAGCATGTTTGAATTAAGGTTTAATGGTTCTTTTTATAACCCAATCGCCACACATTTTTAGTTATTGTTTGGAATTGCACAATCAAGCAGTAAAAGCATTGCGCTACCCGCCAACAGCTGGTAAAGGTGTAGTTGAATCAATTGAGGAACAGAGAGAACGTGAACAGCAGGTAAAACATGTGTTACAAATAAATTTTAATGCTTGAACATTATAGAAGTAATCTGTAGAACGATGATCAAATGAACTTTGTGTCATTTTCAGGAATTGGAATTTGCGAAAGAGATGGCTGAAGAAGATGATGATGATTTTTAAATAAGCGTTTGATTTTGAATAAAAATTATTCTTGCTTTCATCTATATTGAATAAAAATTTAAGTTTGAATGAAATAATGTGGAATATCACGTTTGTCAATGTTGCTGGTTTTCATCAACTGTATCTGAACAAATGGTCATTTTCAGGATAGTACATAATGTGCAATGAAATCAAAAGTATCTGTTTATAAGGGATGAAGACTACGAGGGAAGGTGATATGTGGAATAGAACACTACGAGGGAAGGTGATATGTGGAGTAGAGGGAATTGAATATAGTATGCAAAATTGTCTAATTGTCTGACTTGTCATTAATTCATTTTGAAGGTGAGTATAAAGAACAGACTCGGAAATTCTAAGAACTCCTATGTCGGTGGGCAGAAATGAAGTGGAACAATCTGAAGCTTTAAATTTTAACTACTCGGATATATTGGTTTAATTGCTTAGGATTTTATTTTCCCTCTGTAATAATTGTAGCCATTAATTTTCTAATTCTTCATGTATAGTTTTCACACCACCTATAAAGTTCAATGTTTTGGCGATCTGTACGGTTGGCGACTTTTTATAATGTTGTATTCTCCGATTTAGCTTGTTTATGCAACGTTTCAAACAATATCTTACACGTTATTATGCAATAGTCCGATATGGTGACAAATCGGAACCGATATTTGCCCTTTGCGGTGATATCCCATTACGAAATGATGATGGTGCTGGGCGATTATCGGATGTTCAAGACATCGTTGAAAAGTTCCGATTCGCTTGGGGTGTCCCAAAAATTAGAACTTGTCAAGGTTTATTGTGATTTAGTTTTGATTCATACATTCCTTTTTCCATCCAGAAATTTCTAGAATATGAGTGAGGAAATAAATTCTGTTTACTTAGTAGTTGAATTTTTACTTTCTAATGAAAGACGTAAATTATATGGTCTTTTAGGAAAGCATATTTTATATAGATTAAAGAAGTATTTTATCAACTTGTATTTTATCAGTTTGATTTGTTTTCAGCAAAGAAAGTAACTCGTAAATTTGATACACACAGAACATTAGAGCTCAAGACGAAACTGGTAGTGTGTCATATTTGCGGCAGTTACCATGATTACGACAAGATATGCGGTAATACTCTGTTTTCTTGTGAGGGAGGAAGTTTTATGCTTCGTAAAATTTAATAAATCCATAAAATATAACTCCTTACGGGCATTCTTGAAACTGCTGTTTTGACTTGAGAACACCCTACTAATATTTACATGATTTGTATTGTTAAACTATCGGATTTTAACAAATCATAGCCTATGAACGGAAGTGCTGGAACATCAGGGCTAAAAAATAGGAAAATACCTACCAAAACAATATATTATGTAGAAAAGTGCTATAATCCGTAGAAAAGTCAATATGTTTTTCTTTTAATGGAATTCAGGTTTGGAAATGTGGAAGTTCTTCAATCAGTATAGTTTATGAAGTAAATATAATAGTTAGTAATGTAAAAAATATATGTAATCATTCCAAATTGAGATTTCATCTCGACTAATTGCAGCAACCTGTTATAAGAAAGTACAAAAATTAACCAACTTGATGAAATCCAAAATTATGGCCTACAATCCGTATATTGGAGAAAAGCAGTCGACGAATGTGAAATTTGAGGACGATCCACATCCTGGTCCGGGTAAAGCACACGAAGATGACGAGGATGCAAAAGCTTCAATCGATCGAAGAGACAGAAAACGTATTGTTGAGTTAGGAATTCCACGACCAACATGGTTTAAGCCCAAATTTATAGATAGTTCTGTTCGCAATAAACAATAAAGATAAGGGAAGAAAAACAATATATATATATGCATAAACCGATAGATAACAAACAGAACAATTCCATAAAAAGGATCATTCGCTTCGGACGTAAACATTCCATGAACGTATCCCAATACTTCTCTTAACGAACAAGTTGCCTAGTTTTGCAGATGACACAATATTTCTTCGAAAAACAAATTTCTGAGATCTCCCCAATGTTTGAAATCCAACTTCTAGATTCTTATTTCGACATATTTCTAACCATTATTGTTTTGGGTTGTGGTTATTGGGATTGCTTGCTCATTATTACAACATATTTCCCAAATGAAACTACATCCCAGACGAAACTGTTAGTCCAACTAATGGTATTTTGTATAATTCTATAAACGGACGTATTCATATGATGTTCGGGTGGTGACATCATTATAAGATTGCTTCCTGCGGAAACAATCTGAAAAGATCGAACTAACTATTCCGTTATGTTTCGTTTTCTCAATTTTTTTTCACTAAGCCACAATTCCTATGTCGTCTATAACGGACTAAGTTCGTCAAACTTGAAGTAATACGCAAAGTGCAAGAATCAGTGCACATAAATAACAGGAATAAATATAAAATATATATATAAAGACAACAAATCTGCTTTAAGTACAACCCTTAGTAGATGACGATAATGACGGTAATACTGATACTGTGGAACCATATCACAATGATCAAACAAAATGACCGACAGTTACAACAATGCTCATTGCAATGCCAGGGAGATATCATGTGCTACCAATATAACTCATGGAAATAGTCAACCACTAAAATACGATTAATCATCAGTTAACTCCTTGAGGGAGGTGCCAAATTTACTGATGAGCTAATCCGAAATAAAAGCCTCTTTTCTGAACCGACAAGCTTCGTCTTTGGTAACATCTCTTAATTTCTCCTTTACTGTAGATTTTGAAAGTAATTATCGGAAAAATGGTAGCAGAATGTTAGCAGAGGTCTCTGAAATGAAAGCATTAATTCAAAGTACAATGAGTATAACATTGTCGACGAGATGAGAGAAAAGAGAGCAAAGAGAAACATGGAAAATGTACAGAAGAAATCATTCAATATAATCCGACAGATAATGGTTCAAAAAACAGATTCATAGCTCCGCGAGACTGGAAATGAAGGACTACGTCCGAGCCGTTTCTTCGGAAGTCTTTCCAGCATTCTCAAAATATCACAGAGTGTCGGCCTTTCTTTTGGTACATAATTCCAGCATCGGACTAGAATACCCTGAAACTTTTTTTTCCCCAAACATTTAAAGAAAGCTGTAGGTAAATACTGGAAATTTTTGATTTTCAGACACTTTAACTCAGTCCATTAACTCAACTACCATTACCTTAACTTCCCCTGGACCAGATATATCATCGAGCAATGCTTTAAAACCACATCCAACTTTCCAAATGATGACATCCGGATGCAGCTCTCGGAATGGAAAACGATACGTCATTAGTTCATACCAAATAGTTCTAAAAGCGCACTGTTAATACGGATTTTTATAAGTGAAGATTCGTTAACAAAGATCGAATTCGTTAATTTTTTCACAAACATACCCAAACGCGTAAACGTCACTGTTTTCGGTGAATGGCAACTGGATCAGATCAGCCGATAATACTTTAATCAGTTCCGGAGCAATATACGACAACCAGTACTGTGGAACAATTAGTGTATGATGCCTTAATAATTAGTAACTGCTGTTCATTTTTCTTTATAGAAACTTTAATTATATCGTTAACCGACTATGTTTCAAGTTTCATGCTAAGGAATTCCACCACTCTGGAAAAAGTTGATGTGTCAAATTCTCGCAGAAATCCAAATTTTACAGCACTGTTTAATTCAGAGCGTTAGTAAAAGCTTAAATTTATAAGAAAGTTATTTAAAAAACCTGCCCATCTTTGGATGCCAGTTTAAATTCATAACATATAAACCAATGAATAAAATTACCTATGCGGTTGACCAAGTCGCTTCATATTAAAAAGGCCAAAATCAGTGAGAACGATACGATTTCGACTTTCCACAAAAATATTTTTTGTTCGTAGATCTTTGTGAATAATCCTTTTTGTATGCAAGTAAGATACTCCCTTAATACATTCGAAATATCATTACATAAAATTTAAAAAATAACTAAAATACCTCATTTTCCATCATTCTTCAAGAAAGTAAGTGAGATAGAATAAGAAATATTAATTATTCATTTTCAAAGCTACTGATTTCATTTCTAATAGTTAGAGGTTTACCTGACATATCTGTGTAGCAAAATGTACGATCTCCGTAAAATCGAATTTCTCATGATGGTCATGAAGTAACTGGTGCAAAGGCCGACCTTTACAGTAATGCATGACAATACCTAATTTGTGTTGATCAAAAGTATAGCCCAAAAAGAGCACTATATTATCATGTCGTGTATTCTTGAATGATGCAACTTCCACCTGCAAGAAATTATACTTCCACACGAAATATCCGAGAGCTTGAAAAACTTCATTTTTCTATAACCCAAAGCTGATAAACTTCAGTTAAGAAATCTAATAAATTGGATCTTTGTAAAAAAAGTTGAATTAAACTGTGTGAGGGAAACCTTATTGCTCAAATTTGAAAAAAAGATAAATGAATATGTTTCTGTGGGCTTCTCGGGAATTTTCACTGTTAAATGTCGAACAAAAAAAAACTTCTAAATTATTAATTTCTACAATCCTTCGAGCATTAAATTGCAATAAAATTTGAAAGTATAGATAATACGGGCTATAAAAACTACCTTAAAAGCTTCTAACTGTTTTTCTTCATCCACATGATCCATATTCAATAGTTTTACTGCTACATCACCATACCAATTTGCTTTGTGCACCTGCATAATAACAAATTATAAGTAACTTATGATAGTACACGATGATATATGAATAAATACCATAATTATTTTAATAAATAAAAATTGATCACGTTAAATTTAAGAATGAGAAATTCAAATGAATTATCAATCCTGGTATCATATTTCATTTATCATTCAAGAAAAAACCGGCAATTATCAGGTACCTCTCCAAAACGTCCTTTCCCAATTAAACTCTGCTTCTTAAATTCGATCTGACTGAACGGAATAGTGAAATCATTCCAACTATTTGGTACCCTTATCGTTCCATTACTCCATCTGTCTCGATTCAATAAGCAGCCCGAATTTGGACTTAATTTTAAACTATCCAGTTCTTCCTGAAAGAGATAACAAATTTTTAATTTATGCTACGCGGGATTTTTCTAAAAATTGAATTGATACGAACAAGAAAACAGAGATCTCACTCGATTATCAGAATTGCCGCCGCTGCTTCCCATTGAATCAATGAATAAAGTATTATCTGAGCCTTCTGTACCACCAAGAACGATGGTGCCACTAGAATTCACTGTACAATCTGAGCCTTCAGATGAAACTAACCGATGCTGCTCACTGAAATACGCAAGAAAAGCTAATTTAATGCACAAGAAAATACAGAAGAGAATTCTCAGCATTTTACATTAGCTCTGTTTCATTCCCTTTTTCACTGAAGACGATAATAATAGAATTGCTTGATACAAAATACAGAAAAGAACCCTGACCATTCTAGACATAATAAAGTTTTATGCCCAGTGCTTTGTAAAATGAGGAATATTATTTCTAGAATTTGGATAAATCTTCGTCTAGCTCTGATTTTTTCAATGAATTAATTTAGAAATCATACTGTTTTCTACCTAATTATAACATCTAAAAGAAAAATTCCGTAGGTTAAAAGTTAAATCTATTTTAGCTATAAAAGTCACAATTGCTAATAATTTACCTGCCCCCACTTTCTACAATAATATCAGGCACTTCAGGAACTGCTCCCGGAAAGTCGAAGTTACTTCTGCATGATGAAGGAGGCGCTGACGGCACCAAGAATGGACTATACGTTGGAAGCGTAGCTGCAAAATTTACAATTTTACCAGAACTTTCGTAAATCTTAAAGTAGAGTGAAGATGAAATGGTATACTTATATCAGCAAATCACAAACATAGTAATATAATGTCCACCTGTCATCATGGAAGCTCAAGAAAGCGTGAGATACAGATAAAAAGTGAAGAATTTACCAGAATATATAGCTGGGAAAGCCGGTGTTGAAGGTGCCGAGCTGTTTGTACTTGATGAACTATCTATGGGATCGAAACGAAATGCCTGCTGTGAAGAGGCGCTATACTCCGATGGTGTCCAACCATCCTACAAAAGTTGAATATTATAAGATTAAATCTCATTCCTAGAACTTCGGAGAAATTGTGCAAAGAGTTTATAATATTCTGACATCTAGTAAAAGCAAGAAAATATGGCACGATACAAGAAGTCTTGGTTGAAAAACAACATATCGGTTGAACTGAGAGTGTTCACTGTAAAACATTTCTGATTAACAACCGCAATATTTCAGAGGCAAACTCACATTTCCGGTATCTTTCATGAACATTTCTTTCAGTGCCTGTTTGAGATAAGCAGGAGTAAGGCCGCATGAATCACCAATTTTCTCCTTACAATGTGGGTGTACTCTCCATCTATAATTTATATGAATTTTCATTTCTTTTTTTCAAGTAACAAATGTTGCAAAATCCACAACTCCAATCTTCAGTCGCATTAAGGCTAATAAGTTTTTCTAAAGTACTGAAATTTCCATTATAAACTTACTTGCATGATTTACATTTTTCATATTCGCTGAAGAAATTTAATTGTCGTTGACAGAAATGACAATTTTCAGTGGAAATACGAAAACCTTTTCGACGATGCCATTGATGAGGGATGGAGTGTTTGGCGCGAGCAGTTCTTGGTGTTCGAGGCATTGTATCTGAAAATGTTAATTGTATACCTTGACCCTTTGACCCCCTTTATACTTTGATCCTAACACAGTTCGCAAATTGGAAATCTTCGCACTCCATACCATTTAAAGAAATAACAACTTACTTGCCACTTGGGTCATATAGCTTGAATGAGAAGATGATGGGCT